CTCTCTCTCTCTGTGTGTTGGGGGGGAGGAGGTCGCCAGAAATTATCCTAGGGCACAGAGTCGTTCATCTCCATCAATTTATTGATCACACACACCACGCACGCACAAAGAAATGCGATCCTTGGTACTCCACCTTGCCGCTCTCATTCATTTTCCTTTCTGCAGTTCTTTTTTTTCTCCATGCTTTTCACTTTTCTTGCTTCTCTTCCAGCACTCCGTTCTTGCTTCTGCGGTGACTTGACTACTTAGATCATACCCACACTAGAACTTTCCAGGGTGTAATCATTACCACCACTTCGACCAGATACAGCTGAGAAAATCCTAGTGTGCATAAAAAACAAGTTCAGCAATCATCCATCCATCCATCCATCCATCCACCCACCCGCGCACGCACGCAACAGCAAACACCTACCTGCATTAGAGCCAGCTCCAGCATCGGTAAAAGCGCCAGCTGGCCGTGGAACAATGGCACGGCATCCTCAACAACCACTTCACGATTACCCTTAGGATCTGCAGATTCGCCGCCATCGCCAGCATTCCTCAGCCGTCCGATCAAAACCCCGTTCACGGCTAGAGATTGATACTTGAAAGCGTGAAGAACGAGTTTTACGTACGCACGCTGAGACAAGATGTACTTCACCTTTTGGCCCGTCGTTGCCATATCCGCTCCTCACAACGACTGGCCAATCGCCACGTGTCACTACCCGAGACTACAGGATACGACACACGCACGACACAGGACACGGCACGTCCGTGACTTCCTGCCCCCGTGCTCACCGTCACGCTCACCGTTACGCCCACCGTTACCAGAACAGCTCAGGGTAACGGCCACAGTCACGGTCACAATCACAGTCATGCACATGCACGCTCAAGCACCAGGAAGGTCCCCTTTTCCCTGGCCTGCCCCGCCGTTTTCCCCTGCGCTGCCCAAGCACAGCCACCTGGCACCCAGCCGAAGCACAACACCTCCAATCTTTTCCTTCTTTTTTCCCAGAAAGAAAAGCAAAAGAAAAAAAAAAAGAAAAAAAACGTCCAATCCGACTGCTGCCTAAATCAGGATCACAATCCAGGCTGACTGGCGTTCCAAAGGGCTGATTTGGTTTACTAAAACCTGGGCCTATAAGAAGGTCGGTGCCTCGGTATCAGAAGAAGGCAGACTAATATTGGCCTATTGGCTACTGAAGAGCCAGACTCCCTGACTGGTTAAACCACCAGTACTTGGGCGACGCCTTCGGCCGTCGATAAATCGAATCGACAGCCCGCGCTGCTTCGAGATTTGGGCGGCCGGCGCGGCGCGCAGTGCCCAAGTACTGGTGGTTTAACCTCTTTTTTTTTTCTTTTTTTTTCTTTTTAAAGGTGATCACAACTGTCTATATTCCTCTCTCATCTCAGCGGCCTAGCTCAGTTGGTAAGGAACGCAAGTGGCATTCAGGAGGTCTTGGGTTCAATCCCCATTGGCCTCATGTACCTTCCTGGGCATGCTTGGCGCCCGCCACCTAGAGATAGCCCGTTGGTCCCCCCAATTGGCATTAAAAAGCAGTCTCTGCTGATGTTCGCAGCCAGGAGGCTGCGCTTGTGTGGGTTGCGTTTCGGCGTTTCATGTGCTTTCTATTTCGGGTAAGGTCGTGCAGTACAATGAGGCTAGGACGGGGTTCCTTTGGGGTTTTGGGGGGGAAAAGAAGGGTGCGGTCGTTGCCGTCCCTAAGACCGGTAGTGGAAGCAGCTTGGAGGGCGGAGGACCAGGGGTCGGTTGCGCAGGTCGTTAACAGGCTTTGCAGGTCGGCATCTGGCCTTTCCCATTTGGGAAAGCGGGGGAATGTCGGAGGCCACAGGAAAGGGGCTGAAAGAGGGTATGCGTGTTTTGGCCCCTAGGAGGGCCTCACCCTTGTGTCAGGGATACATACAACGCGCTGATAGAAATCGCTACCCTTGGTGTTGCCCTTCTTGTGTTGATGCTGGATGGTGTTGGAAGAGTTTGGCACGCAGCGCAGGGGAGGACTACAACGATGTAGAGGAAGAGGGCGGCACAGTGCCCCCCTTTCCGCTTTCGTCGCGACCCCTCTTCATCCCTGCTCTCGCCATCGCAACCCCTCTTCATCCCTGAGCTCGCTCCAGTGGCCGCTTGCCCTCGTTGGTCTCTGCCCCTTTCATACACATCACTTCCCCTTCTCTCTCTCTCTCTCTCTCTCTCTCTCTCTCTCTCTCTCTCTCTCTCTCTCTCTCTCTCTCTCTCTCTCTCTCTCGTGCACACACACATGCCAATTTCTGGCCACTGCCGAACTGTTTTCTCATCTCTTCCTCCTCCTCCTCCTCCTCCTCTCCCTCTTCCTCTTCCTCGACAGATCTATATGCCAGCCGCACTCGTCATTCTCCAATTCTCTCACTGCAACAATCCTTCACCGTCTGTTTCTCTTCACAAGGTGCAGCGTTTTTTTCCCCTTTTTTGCGGCATGTGAACTTCCGAAATCCTCGACCCAGGAGTTTTGCGGCGGTGTGGGTAGAGGGGTCTCTCTCTCTCTCTCTCTCTCTCTCTCTCTCTCTCTCTCTCTCTCTCTCTCTCTCTCT